TACTTATTATGGACGAATTTACGATCCATTACGTGACCATTTTGCTCATATCTAAAATCGTACTAATACATGCCGCCATTTTGAATTATTATTTCTCATAACCTAGTACGCAAATGATCACTATATACCGCTCATTTTATGCAAAATACAGAGAAATTAAATGGTAATATGATATGATATGGTAATACAAATAAAGCTAAAATTTAAATATGTAAATAAACAAATGCAACAAGGTCGGTTTATGACTATATGACATCCAATACATTCTTCTCAATAAACGCATTAAAAGTAGATTGAACATCTCCCGTACTGTTCCTTTATTCAGGGACTGTCGTGACAGCCGCGTCATTTGAATCAAAACATAAGGCAAGATTAGAGACATCGAATAAACCAGCCAATCAACAAGCTGTTCTCTAATTGGACTATTAAATGGTAGGTTTTGGTTGCCAATCAGGTAAAATATTGTATAGCTTGCGAAGCTACTTATTACAAGATTGTGAGGTTAACCATCGACGATATCTCGATGATTACTCGTTATGTTCTGGTCTGAAGTGCGAAACAGTCACGCACATTGCGTAGATCGACTCGATTACTAATTACACTGTCTTTGACTGGTTCAGTAAAAATAAGTGATTGCAGCTTCCCGAAAACACACACACACACACACGAAAAGCCTGACCTACAAGCGTCCGTCGTTATTATTGTTATTGTTGTTTCCTCCAGATACTTGATCCTCATTATCTACTACATAATTAGTCACGCAAATGCAATCGATAACCTATAAAAAAAATATTCAAAATATATTTTTTGTTTTAATGTATTATTGTTCAAGTTTTATTTGTTCTTATTTTATTACCCTATGTAGCAATTACCCAGATATCCAAGTATTGAACCATGAATACATTTTATTGACAATGTCATCAATGTAATGTTTATTTTTTACATTTTTGTTATATATATTCATTTTTATATTGACAAACATCACATTGTGTACATGCAAATTTGCATCTATGTGCATTTATGTTCTTTCAAAATCGGTAATTAATGTTATATATTCGATAAATAATTCTTAAGTTTGTGTGCTGTTGGTGTACAGATTATTGTCAAATAGATTCCAGGTACTATGTTGGCGTACATATTACGACATTATATATTTTACGTAATGACAATATTGGCGTATATGTTATGCGGTGATATATTCCATGTGATGACATTATTAGCGTATAGATTGCGACGTAATATGTTTCAGGTAATGACAATATTGGCGTACAGATTGCGACTTAATATGTTTCAGGTAATGAAAATATTGGCGAACCGATTGCGACTTATTATGTTCTAGACAACGGCAATATTGGCGTACAGATTGCGATTTAATAGATTCCAGGGTCACGTGATTTCAGAGTACCCAATCAAATATGTAATGAACAAGATATAATGTCAAATTGCTTTATTTGTCTCAAAGGATTACAGAAGCTAGAGATAGTGAAACTATAATTTTGATGATGTAGTTTGAGACTTATTATACCAAAATGTAGTTGTTTAGGCCACTTCTCGGTATATCGATACATTCAGTTGTATCACTTGTGAATTTGTTCGAATGAGTCATTTACAGTTTTGGGACAGTCAATTCTTAGTCTTAGATACACACACAACAGAAATGTCTTCGTGCGTTAATATTAAGTACATGGTCAACTACGACAAGATTCACAATTACAACAATCAAATTTCTTAAAGGCAAAGTAATATGGATATTATGGGAATAAATATTCTAACCTTACATTTTTCGTCCACCTGCCCATTTTCTATTGTACACTAACATATTTTTCATTCATTAATAAAAGAATCTGTATATTCATATTCGTTTTGATCATCTTACATTTATTATTTTAAGAGAATTCATAAAGATAACAAAGCAATATAAATGGAACACTGGAAACCACGTACGAATATTAATGAGACAATGTGGAATAGATAATTTACACAGAGTGTGAGTCTAAGAGTCTAAGTGTTGTAATCGAAATAATCCCAACGATGAAACCACGTCTGTCTTCCTTGATGATTCAATACTTTTTAGTCGTCTATTTCGGTGAGGGAGGGGTAATTTCGCAACTGTAAATCGCAGTCAAAACCTTATTATTTCATTTGAAACGGAGTTATATGGATTGGACTTTAAGACCAAAACAGAACACACTTTAATCTACCCCAATTTTAAAATAATATGCACTAAATTAGACAACTATGCATTAAGGCATAACAATACTAGACTCATGCAAGGGTCTAATATTGTTATACAATGGAACGCATCAAGCGCCGCGGTTATAATTGGTAGTAGTGTTATATTATATTCGCATTCAAAAAACAAACAAACACACACATTTACAGTATCAAAATATTTTTTATTTCAGTCTCTAACTTTGTATACTGTTTTATTTGCCGGATCGTCAAACATCACTCTAGTCTGGTGGGTTTTTTTCGTACGTGCAGTATTTCCGAAGTCTCTAGTCGCCATAATGCAAGTTCACAGCCACTTTCTGATCACATGAACGTATGGCTGTCTTCGCCAAGAGAGAGGGACAATTTTCACTTATATAATGTCACTTCTATTTTGAATGCACACGTATACAGTAAAAGGTTCACATGAAATAAAAAGACCCACGATACTGATAAACTACGCCGTTTTTACTAGTTAACGCATACTCATACCTACAAGTGATGTTAATGAATGAATAATATGTGAATTTTGCAACCATGTAATCAACTAGCCAATTTCCTGTAGGGGCGTGTGACATCTGAAACCAATGTGAAATGTAATAAACAAATCATGCTCCCTATAAGATCACATATTCACTTATTAGTGCATACTATTTTAGAACCAGTGTACATGGAAGTGTTGACAATTTCGTTCGCGAAGTCTCATCCATATCTCAGTCGAAATAATCATTTGTTAACGGTATATTATTTAATTCGTTGCGTTGACAACAGTTCCACGCCAACATTCAGGCTAGTTATTCTTACTTGAAACAATCTGTGAACTTTTGCTGTAATATTCCTTTGGGAGGTCGTTACTGTGCTTTGTGTACATTCCAATAAATCATTCTGCTAGGCCTTTTAATGCACTATTTACCACTGACTCACACGAAACTACTATCGTGTGAGTATGATTAATAGCATAAATTATTACGTTTGGCATTTTGTTAAACATTTCAAGTTTTTATCGCTATAGACTAGATAGTCGCTTATATATATTATATTTTCGTAATCGATTAGCGCATGCAGGTGGCTCTGAATTCGATTCATTAGTACTGAAACGACTTTTACGTTGTCGCACTCTTCACGCTCATACGTTTAAATTCAAACAACAATCTACTGATCACCATAGTAACGGACATGTGTGCACAAAAATGCAATGGTTTTGGTGAAGGATTTACGACTATACAATGTATCAAACCTTTTTGTGCAATCCATGATTATTCACGAGGCCGTTTCAAATGCATGCCTCCACGTTGTCTGTGAAGATGTCAAATCGCATATGCAAATATGGAGTTTGCGGCAAATGCAGCATTCCGGACCTCGGGTCATCTAAATAGAAACGACGATGCAGCTGCTGATGTGGGGGTATATACACAGTAATTTTACCCGTGTATAATTCATAACATGTACGCAGTAATTGAATCATTATTTGTTCATCCAACGGCGCAATCTCCGAGCCGACTGTCAATTCTGTTCACTGTACACTCTAACTTATATATATTGTGTAATGAACACTTATCATTCCAACATCGTTCCGTGTGTCCACTAATTTGCATACAGACATCATAGGCCTGTGGTGTTTTCGTGCACTATCGCATGACTAACCATAAGGAAACGTGACGCAACCGGTGTAGAACCGACCATCGCTGGGATTACTGGTGTTCATATACGCATGGGAATAACCTAACGATTTGGCAGTTGCGTATTCCGACGTACCGTCTCGGATACTTTTCACATCAGCGTCGGCCTCTTTCCAGTAAATTACATATTGTCAGGAGACTCTTGATTCATGCCCCACGAGCTTTAAGCAGTATGCCCCCTCGAATGGTGACAAGATGCAAATGCACTGCGGCGACTTCCATTAATAATGTATCAATTGTCATCATGTGCTATTGTAGAATTTTGTTTTGTAATTTGTCAGAGGCAATGTTCATTCAGTCACTCGGGGTTATCGTCAAAAGGTAATATTTAATACATTAACATAACGCTAGGACAGCACTACCGATATCAATAAATGAAACCGAGTCAAGATTGAGGTATATTTACATACATATGTAGTTTTCAATGTTTGCTGCTTTCTCTATACGTAAAGACGTGGCATTTTCCAGGAGTAAATACCGAAGAATTGATTTCAAGCTTGATGTATTCCATTCACACCGTGGTCATTGAATTCCCAAATTGATTGTGCTTGTAGTTGAAAATGATTCTTTTTTACAATGGATTTTAAACCGAATGATTTGGAAAAACGAAGAGATGATTTATGCAGTGCGTAAATCACCGTGACAGGTGTATTGTTAATTTAACTATCGGGCAAGAAAAACATCCGGTGTCGTTCTATTATTTTGACATCTAACGCCCCGAACTATTGTGAATTTCCAACATATTTGCATTTGCATAAATACCTACATATTTACATACATGGTTTCTTTGAAACTGAATGTTGTATTATATGATTACATATGTCGTTCTTCTTAATACGCTATCCGTATTTTATTTTACTTTCGTATCTATCGAATTCATTGGATCTTGGTTTCATATATGGAACATTGTAATACATGAATATTCATAAATCATCTGACTGCGTCATAGTTGATGGAGTACTTATGGATTCTACAGGTTTAACATTCAGTATACCAGCGTAACGAGATGATGGTATATTGACACACATAGTGTAGACTGCGAACACTGGCAACCCTGTACTTGGGTTCGATTCGTTCAGTACCATCGCCATTCTCTTTTATTCTCTCATAATGGATATAACTTGTAGACTGCTATTCGTAACTGTATTCGCCAATTTGCTCGTCGTAGTTCGCTTGTATGAAGTGGAGAAAGTACCGCTTTATATCGGAGGTCTGTTTCCTTCGGACATTCACGAGAGATATGGAGGGTTGATATCTACAGCAATCGAAGCGATTGAACACGTCAACAATTGTAGTGAAATACTAGCTGAATACGAATTGGTATTAGTCTGGAGAAACACAAAGGTGAGTTTTATGATATCTGTGCATATGTGTGCAAGGTGAAATATGTTTGTCCATACTGGACAGCGGGCTGAAACATACGTCATTAAGTGATCCTTTTTCTTTCTTTGTGGTTCATGTAAATACGATTGCTTAAATTTAATTGCTTTTTTCAGTTTCATTTATTTTCTATTATGAACATATAAAAAAAAATCAATATGACTTCGATAGACATACTTGCTCTGCACAAAACGTGCATGAACCCATACATGGGGTTTTGTGAGTTAACATAGACACTGTATAATACATGGTGAATATAGACATAATCGAAGTAAATAATTGGCATGATTCAATGCGGTAACCCTTACATTCTTTTGACGTCAACGTGTTCTTTTCTGGGAGGAAAAAAAAATTCTAATCAAAACTAGAACGACTATAAGGTGATGTTAAGAAACGCGGCAACTGGCTTAGTTAATGCATATGCATATGTCTATGTCTTTGTACACTGCAGAAAAGAGTGTAATATACGCAAAAATAAGAAGGTCCTCGTACTGCCAAAAAGTGCGTTGTACGAAAAAGAAGAAAGTACAATTAATAGAATAATATACGTACTGAAAACAATTATGCAAATGAGCACAATTTGAAACTTTTACTAACTAATTTTAAAAACTACCAAAGAGAATTTCCATTGTATTTGTATTGTAATATATTGAGACTATATATACTGAGTTAACAAAACACACAGGTGTTATAATAATTGTGTTATATTGCAATGCTGTTAATGGGATTTCTTTGATCGATGGAGACTTAATTGTCGAGTATGACGCCATTATTAACACCGATAGAAGCGTTTTATTCCTATTCTCTGAGTCTAAATAGATAGACAGCAGACAGGTGGGCAGGCGGCACGTAGGCAGGCGGATATATAGAACATCACAGACGGATTGGAATTAACAAACTCTGAAATGTTATGCTATGTTACACTGAGCTGATATCACATATGATAGAGGAAGAGTCCGATTAAATTATTTATTTAATTTTTTTTGGCAATAATGCCATGTCATACAAAGACTACACAATTTTGGCATTTATGTATTAATGTTCGAATGAAACCAACAGGTCGATATTGGACTGGGTCTGTACTATGCTTACGAATACATATACCACGGTCCACAGATGATTGCATTGATCGGACCCCTCAGCTCGTACGAGTCTATATCTGTCAATCCAGCCATTAAGTACTACCATCTAGTTCAGGTATGTTCATGACGTCACCGAAAAATGCACACCGTGTATCCACACATTTGTATCGTGTATTCAATGTGACCACTCGCTACTATGACGAGCCTGGCACTCCACGTTTGCAGGTAATTGTATACATTTGTTAGAGAGAACCACGTGCAGCATTTTGTTTGTCAAGCTTTTAATGGTTATCAATTCATGTAAACTTGTATATGCCGTTGATCAAGGCCATGTCAGGTTATTTAAACCCAAACCATGATCATCTGTGTGCAGTTATTAAAGTAGTTAAACAAGTTAAAACGTTCGTAGTTTCGTAGGTTGTGTGGTGTTATATACGATTCTCGGGTTATTCAGTAAAAGCCACATCTCACTGTAATTTATTTATTTATCGTTTTATTATCGGTGTTATTAGTAGTCAAAATCGTACAGAAATGCAACATTTCAGGTCATGCTGCTCAATATTCGATATAAGTGAGCAAATCGCGTTCAACAAAACGTTTAATAGGAAATTCAACAAATTAATTGTCTGTGTACTCGGTTTATTTATCGACTACTCTCATTGTATGGATTACATCTTCAGTGCCGCTTAATAGTAAACTGTCCTGCGTCTATAGCATGGTTCTATCTCTCTCTCTTTCTCGTCTACTTTCTTATGTCTAAATTTTAACCACATTATAATTAAGTTTACATCAATGTAATTTATCAATTGACAAGCTCTAGAATTAGATCTGACAGTTACATAGCACTCACAAACGGTATTAGATGATCCGGATATATCGTTATGTTTCTAACAGGGCATAACAACATCATATAAACATGAATTATTCAAAAAATAACCACCTATTTTGGATTCATATTGGGATTCATTCCTACATGAACGTAGACATATATACCGAAGACGCCGCTCGTCTGATCAGTATGCGGCCCACGTAACCATGTCTGCAAAATGATCACGATAAAAGTACAATAAAATAGTTCCAGTAGGTCGGGTAATCTTGAAAAATATATCATTACAAGTAAACCCCCAGTGAATTATTCATGTCTTGTTGGAAATAATTTGATTCACCGATTAAAATGCACTAATTCCCGCTGCGCAGATTTATAAAACATACAGACCACAGACGCCACGACACGCACAATCACAGTACTAAAAACTTGAATTAAGATATAAAATGTTAAAGAAACATTTATGTTAACTTGTCCCGTATACTTGTATTCAAATATTCACTGTATCGAACTGATATACACTGTGAGAACATCTATTAGTACTGCATCTTCAAAATATTATTAAGAATATCAATGGAAAGATCGTATAAAGTAATTCCTTGAATACATATACAAGAAAAGAATTGCATTGGTATTAGGGTCCATTTTAAACCAAACCTAGATGGGAATTCATAATAAGGCATTATTACTACACAATTACTATCTCTCAATCATTGAACAGTTTCCGCATATCTCCCTAGCCGCCATTGGAATTATCTAAAATGTAAAGTTAGGTCCACTCAAGTATACACTTTTAATTGCATGCAATTTTACCTATTTTTAAACTTCGCTGCGACTTGTTGGGAATCAGAAACATACTCGACTCAGCAAAATAAGCAGACTAAACTATCACTAGTAATCCAAAATAGACAATAATTCGTGAAATTCGACTAGTTGTTTCACAAAACACTAAACTAAATGATGATTTAATACAACAACGTCGATGAGAGAACTTTTTGTCGATATATTTCAATATCAGAGAAGGCACTTATTGCTATCGAAACATTTGCCTAATTAACTCACATAAACCCTTGATCGTAGTCATAATCTTGATAACTTTGAAATGATGAATTTAAATGCAGTTAATTAATCGTTCTTGTTTAATGCATTATGCGCCCGGTTTTAGTTAACGTGAAAAGTCACGTACGACCAGCAGAAACGTGCAAAACGAGTTATGTACGACACAGAGACGATCTCATTCATTGAATGTGTGGAGTCATTTCTTTTCTTGGTTTCGAGCCTAATTACTACCATAGAACATTATCGCGATTTTCAAAGACGAACTTACTCACAAGACTAGATAACCTCGACATTCAGAACCATAGAAACTCAGAAGATACAATCGCGAGAAAAAATCGACACATCATGATGTACGTGCTTGCCACAATCCGAGTTACTAGGAATAAAGATGTTTCCTGTAATATTAGACTTACTCACCTCGGCCCGCTGTCTTTTTCACATTCAGGGCAGTCTCACTCACGGTTAATGTGTGAACATTATTTGCTTCGTATTTATGTCATATTTATATACATTTTATCAGCTCAATACGGGACTTGCTCGAATTCTTGGTGACGAACAGCAATATCCATACACCGTGCAGATGTACCCAGAAGTGGACTCAGTGGCCAGAGTGGCTCTTATCAAACATTTCAACTGGAAGAGAGTATCCGTGCTTTACAGAGCTGATGACGACTACTGGGAAAGCGTGAGTAGTAGTTTGTCCTGACGCACTTCAAATATATTTCACTTTCCAGAAATGATTAATTTACGATTTTTTCCCCAAACACAATATGTGTTTTGTTCGAAACGATAGAACATTTTTTTTATTAATGATGCTGCAGCCCCTGGTTTGACAGATATCAAGAAATTATTAGAACAAATAATTTGTGGGCTCTTCAGGAAAGTTCCTGTTTATTACACATGTTTATTTACATTCAATGAGTATATGTGTTTTTTGTTTGCTCGGCAGCTGGCTAGAGATACTGTTGTTGGACTTGAGCAGGAAGGCGTGTCAATAATATCTGTTGAAGCAGTTGGTGAAAATGCGGATGTAAACATATTAAATCTCAAAGTAGGTTACAACATCGCATATATCACGTGGTACATATATAAAATAACCCTTTGTGACAAGTTACAATAATTATATTTCCTATTTTCCAGAACCATGATGCCCGCATTCTTTTCATTCTTGGTTACTCTGATCAAGCCGTAAAATTTTTGTGTTCGGTTAGTATATAATCGTTTTTGAAACATATGAAAATATCTGATTACAACTCTTGTTTTAATCCGTATAAAACGCGCATATTTTAGACATTCTGTGTACGTTTTGAACGATTATTAACAGTTACCTCAAGAGCTAAATCAATAGAATACACAGTCAATGTCAAATGAATAGGAAGGTGTTAAAGATGGATTAAGTACTGGCAAATCGCAAGCTTTTTGGTTCATTCAGCAGCCCTTAAAATATAATATTACATATAATAACTAATTAAATAATCCATCGAGTTTTAAAGTTTTCCTTGTAAAGGCGTGTTGGTTGGTTCCTCTCTGGACACCAACCGAATATTAACTGTTGTAGTTGCTCAGCACTAAACACAAAGGAAAGACTATTGGCTCAAAGAAGGATTAGATTGTGTTACAATCCGAATCTCTTTTTGAAGAGTTGTAAGCAGGATTTTTTTATATGAAGACTCAACAAGTTAAAAACCGGAAATACTTGATTGTTGTTCGATCTTTCCTCAGAGGAAAATGTATTTGAAGTGATTAGCATGACCATATATGTGAAACTTGTAACCACATCATTGTGTATTTCATTATATCAAAATAGGCGTATAAACATGGTCTGTATGGCGATAAATACGTGTGGATTATGCCGGGTTGGTACTATCCAAATTGGTGGAAAAGCCTCGCTGAAGATCTAACAGACTGTACCCCTGAACAACTTGACTTGGCAGTAGAGGGACATTTAGGAATAGAAGTGTATCCTGTCACCACTGATTTAGAAAAGTTGGATTTCACTGTCCAGGTATGTTAACCAATATTTATATGCAAGCAATTTGCACAGTATTCTGCCTTGGAGCGTTCTGGGATTATTATGAACGACCTTATGTCTCTGGTTGCCAGACACTGTCACAGCTGAAATAAATTAAATTCCGTTATCTTTAGATATGCACTGTAACAATTACGACCACATTGGTGATAGTATTCTCTGAGGTACAGTGACAGAATACATATATAGGTACTGCCCCTAGTGGTACTATTACATTCGTATCAGCTTTCCTACTTTTGCCGTTCAACCTCGTGGCACAAACACAATCTCCTATCGATGTACCATGTTGTATTGTGCATTAATTTATAAAGAACTGACTAGCAATAAAACGCATATTTCTACACAACTATGCGCATTGAGGCTAATTCCTTAAATAGAGTTTGCGTGTCATTCAATTTATGCCCAGTCAGTTACCCACGACTTCAAAACATACTTCGAGGTATTGCGAGACCGTGTCTTGGTTGACTTCAGTTGGGATCCCTTCGCCTACGATATGGTTTGGATCATTGCCCTTGCTTTACATGCAACTGAAGATAGACTGAACTCCAGCGGTTCTACAAAACGACTGAAAGATTTCACATACAATGACAAAGAAATTGCAGATATGATATACCAGGAAACCAAGAAAGTTAATTTCTACGGTATGACGGTAAGATTTTCCTTGTATAAATACTGTTAAACGTATTACTATGTATAATCTCATGGAAATGCAAATACAATTAATCAACCAAATTAATTAATCAGTCGACAGCTGGTGTTCAATTGCTGATGTGTTTACTCCACGACACCATTATTTTGGCTATTGTGTGTGAACCATAGGCATATGAACAGTGGAAACACAAATGCATGTTGGGTACATTGTTTTTATATATTAAAATAGTGACGCATGCGTATATCCATCTGTTATTGTTATTACTCTATATTTCTGTTCATTGTGATAAATCACAGAATCGCCACATGTGTCATACTGTCATTTCAGTTCAATGTGGAGTTTGATGACGTTGCATTAAGAAGAAGGACACCTCATCTTATTCAACAATTGCAAAGTATGCTATAATTTTTTTGATAGTACATACATTAATAAAAAACTTGGTGAAATAAGTGCTCTTGTGTTTATGCTAAAGATACTAATGATCACTTTAATGATACGTTTTGTTTCGTTTTTTGGGATGAATATACCAGCAATTTATAACAACATGCAACACTTTATTTTACAGACGGGAAGGAGATTGAAACATGTCGATATAATGTCAATCCGGATTCTTTAGAATGTTTCGTACCATTTACATGGGACATAGAGGGTGAGTACACATACATACATACATACATATGGTTTGACCCATGTTCGTTCGTGTTGGTGTTAATTTCCAGGCAATGCGTAGGCAAAACTTTGATGTGCTTGTTTTGCAATAGATCCAACTTTCTACGCTTTTTTGTGAATATTTTGTTAAATACTTCTTCGAAACAATATTTTCTACCCACCTTTATTTCAAGTGCGTTAACTTGCATAATAGTGCACAGGTGTAATCCGGTTTTTTTCTCTGTCCTTCAATTCGTAATTTCAAATGTTTGTAATTCTGACATATTGAGTAATCGTAGTAAGTAAACAACAAATGACGAAGTAGAGCAAACACAGTATGGATAAGTGTTCACTTATACTTATAATAAATGCCTGTATATACATGCACGGATTTCAATATAAAAAAACAAAGGCGTACGAAATTATTCATACGAGTTTGAAATATTAATGAATAATGAATAATAAATAATGAATAAAAAATTAAAAATCAATATCTCAGCCACATGATTAAGAATGATATATAATTAATAACGACAAATCATTTATGTTATTAGAAGCTGGAGTTGATCATCTATATTTTTTGCTGCATTATTGGTAGTTACTCTTAGTAACTCATAACTATTTGCTTTTCGAGAATTCGGTCTAAAAATACGAAATTCACAGCACATGTGATATTAGTTGAACGTGATCAAGGTTGACTGACGATCACCTCAGTAATGGTTAACTTGTGGCATTAACGTTTAGTATTGAAAAGTCGAGATATTTTAAGATACCTTGGGATTGTTTACTTATGGTAATGTCTTTATGGTATTTTCCACATTAACATGTAAATTGTGTTCATGCCGAGTTTATCCTTAACTTGATTTATTTGTAGGAGTCTTGGTATCATAAATCCGCGCATGTTTTGTAATTTTATTAGACGATGATTTTGTTATTGTAGGGTCATGAGGTTGGGTCAAATATTAAACTCAAAACAACCAATAATAATAATAGAGATTTTTACCACCTCCTGTGCGAGTTTTTAAAGGGGAACCGCTCAATCCCATGGATTGCACCAAAGAATCATGGGACACTATTGTTTATGTTGTTTACAATGTTAATCTATCTTTTGTTATCCATTGTTATTTTAATCTAGAAAGTAAATTTGTTGTGAAATTAATCTTAACTGGAAGGTGCCCCTTTAACCATTTAAACAAATAATCAAATAACCAGTTTAAAGTAACACAAAGACAATTCTATTGATGGACACCGATATGGTAGAATACAATTATATGCATATATAGACAGAGACAGGAATGTACACTGGTCACACATACAACGCCACACAGAAATAACGTACAGCAAGTATTCTGCTTCTTATGGTGAATCACCTCAGGCAATATCGACCGCTCCTGCAATTGTTCATTGCTAAACGCGGCCTTCGCCACGCAACAATGTAGATACACCGTCAGTACGGGGCGAAGGTGCGGAAAAAAAAATCACTACACACACCGCAACATGGTATGTAGCAATGCTACGAGAGAGAGAGAGAGTCAATAATATTCATAGATGTATTTGTAAAATATATCACAGAAATAAAACTGCCAAGAAAATAAATTAACAAATATTGTATTAGACCTGAAAGCCCAGATCTAACTAGTGGAATTTATGAATGTTCGGTGCCCGAATTTCTAGATGCGTCATGCCCGTAGCCAGGATTTTGCTTTGGGGTCCTTTTTACTTTCTGAGGGACAAACGAGCGTCAAAGGTGCGAACTTCCCTGGGGGTCCGGGTATGCTCCCCTGGAAAATTTCGAAAATTGAACTTTCTGAAATGGCATTTTCTGCGTTTTTAAGGGATAAATCGGAGATACTCACATATCTGCTTCAGACAATATTTTATTGGATGAAAACGAAAGGTTGAGTATAAACGTTATGAAGTGGCTTCCAGATTTTAATTAGTCTTTGATGTAAAGCTGTGGGCTTATGATTTGTGACTGGGTGATATCCAAAGTTAGTAAGAAATTCCAGGCTATGCAAACAAATCAATCACAAGAAACGACTGCGTAAGTAATAAACACGTAGAGTAGTACGTCAATACAGTACATCCACTGATATACCGGTAACCTTGTCAGAAAGTTAGTAATACATGAACAGGAAGGATAATCGGGTAAAACACTGCAACACGTGGTAAAGACTTGCGCTAAAATAGATGGGCGTCTTATTTATAGGCTCGATAGGATACTGAACCCGAGGCGGGAATGTCTCTAACTGGCCGAAAGTTAACATTCCAGAGCTAAGTAATAAGTGGTGTTTTCTACCACGTTCGCACTTATGTCAACAACATGTCTATTTATAGACGTGGTTTAAAGCAAAACAAATGTGGGTATATCAAATATGTAAGAAATACACAAACACAGTATTTAAGAAAACTCGAATAATACAATAATAAATGTTTTTCGAATGATCAAAATGCTTAACACGACAAAAGCATTTATAATCATGTTCTAACCCAATAGCCTTGAGAGTCTTAAGTTATTCCTAAGCACCTAATATCCTTGATGGTTTCTTAACCTAACAGCAGTCTGGATTCGTGCCTTACAGCTAACATTCTTATTTGATATTTACTTAAAGGGCGGTGGTCGTCGCGCTGCGACCTGTTCGATATGGGACTCCTAGCGACGTATACAACGCATATAAAATACATTGTTTATTTACATGGGAATCAAACACGCGCTGAGCGAGGCCCACCGGATATTAATATCCTTAACCTATCACCTAACAGCCTTTAAAATTACCATTCTTAACCAAACACCCAACACTCTTAACACTATACTATTTTTAACCTAATCGTTTTAGCGGTCTTTCAACAGGTTTGCTTTAGGAGGCCAGTTTCTCTTTGTGCCGCGATCACTTCCTTCTCCGAACGTTTTACTTGCTATGATAACACATTCAATTTGTATCCGATTACCGACACGAAAACTGGATGCTTTACAACGTTCTTGTGTTTGAAATGTTTTCCCTCTTAGAAATGGGTGAAACCACATCATGTCCAGTGGCAGACTTTATATGACATTAGGGGACTGTGTGGGCGCTTGGTCGGCGTTCTCCAGAGGCTGTCAAGTGAGACTGGCAGAGTATTGCGTGCCGGGGGCGCGGTCCACCACTTTCATGGCGTTAAAGCTGGTTTTTAACGCGTGCCGCGCACCGTCCGAGCCAGGATAATACTAACTCGGGAATAACTAACTGTAAATCGCAGGTCTCATCTTTATTCTAGGACTTCCAGTCCCCCTGGTGAAACAAATTAGTCCGTATTTAAAGAATATTGTGTATTTAAAAAATCGAACCTTCGAGCACGCGTGGGGTCGTCCGAAACACCCAAACCCCTGGCTACGGGCATGTGAGTGTCGGGTCGTGGCGAGTGGTTGAATACAGAAATTGGCGGCGCTTAACACAGGTGAGTAGATGCGAACGGCTACTCGAGTTCTCAGGTTGAATCGCGAATCCACCTTCGCAACTGTATCACGTAGTTTCATTTCCATTGGCCAATTAGATTTTGATGTTGAATGTAGAGTTCATCTATGGTAGCTTTTGCACTCCCAACCAGTCAAAGTTTGCAGCAGGAACACACGATCGAGCCTTCAGTAAAATGATGATGTCATGAGGTATACCTTTAATTGGCTTACAACACCAGTAAATTCATCACCCGGATGCTCGACCAATGACCGGGAAGTCCAGTATCATGGGCATGCAGCACGACTCACATACGGACATTTGCACCTGTAGCATTATATGCACTTTGGGCTACAAATCTTAGCTCTCAGTGTGAGGTATTATCAGTTTATAATTAATTAAATTCATAAATAAATCTCTCGCGTACAATACGTAATTCGTTTCTTATAAATACAATCCAGACACCATGTGACAGTAAGTAACAAAACAGGCCGCAATTTATGGCTTACAAAATATTAATCAGTAGATTCTTAGCCCAGGGTCATATGATTTTCTCTACGTGACGATTTTTGAAATAGGTTGTACCATGAACACTACAGTTATTTGAACGGGTTTCCCTGAAACAATTGCAGGATTTTGAACCCATGCTTAGAATTTTATTTATGGGTGTGATGCTCGGTACTTACAACTTATACACAACCTGCTGCAATTCACCATCAGATTCGCACCTGTCACTGAGGATAATATTGTGAAATTATTCAGACGACTACCATGCAAATTATGTACTCTGGATACGCTACCAACCCGACTCGTTCAAAATTGTATTACTCAGCCTTCGCCATTTATTACGCGACTTTTTAATTATTCGCTCATTTCGTTCATAAATCTTTTAAACTCGCCATTGTCAAACCTCTTAAGAAATCTCAACCATAATCCTTTTAGCAGCTACTGACCAATATCAAATTTATCCTTTCTATCTTAAGTTATTAGAACGCATTGTAGCAGAGCAGTTGACCTCATATCTTGCTCATAATACACGTTTTGCAAAATTCCAATCTGCATATTGGGCAAATCACAGTACTGAAACTGTACATTTACGTGTTCATAATGACATTATGCTGGCTTTAAACACTAACAAAGATGTAATTTATGCTGGATTTTATCAGCCGCGTTTGACACGCTAGATCACACAATTTTACTTGACAGGCTCAAGTCACGGTTTGGATTCCGCGTTAATGTTTATTTTCTATATCAACTAGACATAGCTTAGGGGTCCCAACAGAGTTCAGTATTGGGGCCAAATCTTTTTAGTTGTATACGATTCGGGATCCGTGGTAATGTTTATTTTCTATATCAACTAGACATAGCTTAGGGGTCCCACAGAGTTCAGTATTGGGGCCAATTCTCTTTAGTTTGTATACAGCGTGCCTTGAAGATATATAAACATAGTTGTGAGTATACGCTTTTCGCTGATGACACTCAAATTTATCTATGTAATATATGTGACAAATATAGTAATTGGTTATCTTCATTATAATCTTGTGTAGATGATATTCGTAGATGAATTAATTAATATTAAATGACAATAACACAGAAATTATCAAATTCACGTTCTATTGTCAGAAAGACACTCAGGAGTTGGCACATATAACATTGCTGCAGTAGCTTCAGTAAAAAAAAACCAGCGATGGGAAAGTTGTGACCAATAATGTCAACTTTATATGTAAAGCTGTGTTTTTTGCACTGTACAGAATTGGAAAAATCCGAACCCTTTTTTCTCGCGAACATACGGAAAAACTTGTACATGTATTTGTAACATCTCAACTCGACTACTGCAACTCTCTCCTATATAGCATACCACAACATCAACTAGACAGAATCGGTGCAGAATGCCGCAGCTCGTCTTATCTATCGCTCTAGAAAATCACTACTCAAAACTCTTCCCTGGCTTAGTGTCGAATATCATATCAAGTACAAACTATGTCTTATCACTTTTAAGATTATCCAAGGCAAATGTAAGACTTAAATCCTAAATCTTAAATCTATTGTGACATCATATGAACCGCCACTTACTCTTTGGTCTCTGGTGAGCAGTCAGCTACAGCGTCAAGATACCAATACTACTGAGAAAACATATGGCCGGCGGGCATTTTAGATTATTGGCCCCAATCTTATGGAACGATCTTCCTTCGTCACGTTCAACAACATATACTTTTAAGAATCACTTGAAAACATTCCCTTTTCACCAATATTATTAATCCAATCTTATTGTAATTTTAACTTTTTTAAATCATATTTTCTTTGACATTTCAACTTTGTAAAGTGCTCTGAGACGCAGTGTAATATTTCCTTAAATCCATTTTTCACACTGGCATTTTGTAGCATACTACCGGTGTCAGCCAGCCGTTAACTTTTCCCTTGCAGTGTCAACCAACCAAATAGAACGAATTCATTGAGCGGCACCCTTATTATTGACGACTAACTTCCAGCGTCTATTCATCGAACGTATCTTAAGTGATACCTCGATCGTGCTGTATTAGTTATATTTGCCGCGTTGGTGGGGTGGAACAATGTACAATGGCGACACTCCTAGCATCTCCTATCATATGTTACATTGAATATAAATATCAATACTGATTATAGATGAGGCTTTATAAATTCTTGGCATAGAGCGCACCTGGACATGACATAGGTAAAACTAGACGAGATACGAAGAAGTGTGCGGGCTGCTCTACTTTGAAAGTGCCGAGCGGTTCTTTGACGCAATGGTACAGATCCTATGTGATGCTAAGAGAACATTTCGAGGCGATCCGATGTTAAATGGCGTTCATTTCCCAAATACATGTTTCCTATTGTTATAATTCAAATACGCCAGGTATATCTCGAACATCTCGACTAATAACGGCTTTCTCCGTTAAAATAATAATGTTAACGATAAGTGACTAAAGATCACCACCAAGTGGCTGTCCATATTGGTATTTACGTGTGACCTTGTTAGTCTTTTGTACTTTCAAATAATATTTGTAACTGAGAGCAGTGCTTCTTTGTTGTTGCTTGACGCTGCAAGGGAAAGTCAATGGCTGGATTGCTCCGGTAGTATTATTTATTTATCATTACTATCCAGCCTGAACTAAGAACACTGAACACGTTAACAACTCGACCATGGCGTGTTTCACCGTGGTTTTACAAGTGTTTATGACTCTGGGCATGTGCTACCTGACGTACCAAGGTTTGTCGAGAACTAGTAATCAAAAAAAAAAAAAAAAAAAAATACGGGAGTAGAAAATTGAACAGCACAAGCAACACATTTGGAACGTATTGTTATAACTTTATTTCCGCTTTCTTTCATACATTCCAGTATTTTCAAACTGCATATTTACGTACGCGCATAATAACTTGTTTTTACAAATTCGTTAGGATAATATTTAATCATACATTATAACCAGTCATGATTAACATAATTATACGACTAGTTCAAAGCGCAATAGCACGCGTTCTCTATAAACTACGAAGTGTTCCAAAAACTTCAACAAAGAGTTTATTTACTTATTTATTTCCTGGAATATTTTGTTACTTTAGTGCTTTAGGTTTAATGTAAATTATAAATATCAGCTATTGTTTGAGTTGCATTGCCGCACTTCAACGTATACTATTTAGTCTTTCTTTAGAAAGTAAATTCGAGTAGCGCCACACAATTGCTACTTCCCTGTCACATTTCCTTTATAAATATTGTACCTATTGTTGTATATTTTTAATATATTAATGAGTACTTATGACAACAATGAATAGAATACATACTTGCTAGCATTGTTAAATAATTATATATCCTGAGTATCGCATATCTTATCTTATCTACACTTGCCTAATTTTGTATTTCATATGAAGACGCGTGTACTTATTTCTTACAGTTGGTTGGGCATTTCCTAAACTATATGTAAATTGATCCCCAAGTTTATGAACAGATTATCTGGACGTAGTAAATGCATGCATCTTCCAAAAATATAAGGTGAATGCATTTTCCTAAAAGCCTTATGTTTACTTCTTATGATATATATTCAAACCATACTGTTAATTTTTTTTTCGCGTGACTATACATGTAACTGTTTCTCTTATCAATATCTAAAACACTCTTTTGTTAAAATTGTTATCAATGACATGAATGTATGTGTGTTTTTATTTTAGGTCGTAGTCCACCAATAGACGGTGCAACAGAAGTCATCGTTGTTGTTTCTGTATCACCTGAAATACGATATTCAATTTATGGATTGACTGTTTTCGGAATCTTATTGTCTTTATTCTTTCTCTTCGTGAACTTAAAGTACAGGCATACCAAGTAAGACATGCCAATACATATATATTATTAGATATCAAAGGGCTATCCACAATAATCACTGCGTTTGATTATACACTTTCTGATCTGTGTATTTGCCCGCACCGACAAACGAGTATTAAACGTTGAGTTGGGAAAGGCTCATTTGAATAACACCATCTCACACAGACGATAAATTTAAAATCAAATATATTTTTTAAAGGGTTCTGAAAATGACTAGTCCTATTTTGACGTCACTCATACCTATTGGATGTATATTAGTCTATTCGTCCATATTTGTTGCTGATTTGGACCCAACACTGATATCAGAGGAATTAATGGGTCATCTCTGTAAGGTGCAGTATAACTCGACATTCAATCTCGTTAGTTCGTATAGTGTTATATTCATGTACGTAAGTTATTTATGCATATGTTTATCTTATGTGTGCCTAAATGTTTCTCTTTTGTTCGTAAGTATCCTATTTGTAAAATTTTAATCATAAATTGTGTACGAACTTCTAACCATACTGTTGTTTTCTATAATTATACAGGTCCAAATTGGTCTCCTGACTATCGGTATATCACTGTCGTTTGGTGCTCTGTTTATGAAAACCTATAGAGTTCATATCATCTTCAACGTTGCGATGAAATCATTCCGAACAAAAAAGGTAATGAATGCATTGTTTGCCACAGCAAATATTAAAGGCACAATCACGACGCCTAAGATTGTAAATTTACTTATTTGGTTATGCACAAATTTAGCAATGTGGATTGTAAATGTAATCATGTCAGTTAATTTCTCCATTATCCAATTTATTCAGGGTTTGCAGGATATCAAACTCATTTCAGCTACAATACTCTTTGCTTTGTTCGATGCCATTGTATTAACGCTGTGGATGACATTAGACCCGTCCTATATCATAACTGTCAAGTTCGATCCTGTGGTAAATATAAATTGTTGATGCATATTACTGTTTCTTCAGAAAATAAAGCCTGGGGGTTATCAAAGCACCGATACATATACGACGCACAACGAAACGTAGCTGTTATGTGAATTTGATGAAAACAATTTTATACAATTCCACATTTACTGTAATTGAATATCCAAGGGAATATAAGCAGAGTTGTGTGCTACATTTATTTCGTGAGATAATATACGTTTGAATAGATAAGCTATAAAACATAAGCTTATCGCTATTTTTATTTATCTGCATTTACTGTTGTACACAATTAAAGACTTTTGGGATGAATGCTCGTACAAATAACGATAAAAGCTCCACAGATACACTTCCCTGCCAGTTATCTCCACGCACATGCCTATCTCTATTTTGTATTCATCTGCTTTTACCGTTGGATACAATTCACGACTAATGGAATGAATGGTGGAACACATTGATAAACGTCCCACGTATATACTTACTGCTTCTTCTATTGTGCCAGATTTTAACTCAGTATATTGTATGGTTTACTGATTTTCCCAACCTTTGTCGTGTTTGGCATTTAAACCCATAAACCGACTAGCATATTTTATCAACTTTTAAGCATATACTTTTCAGTTAGTTGCATTCGCGTAAGTTTACATGCAACGAGCTAATTGTATGCAAATTGTATTTACAGCTAGATATGACGGAACCTGAAAAAGAAATTTACAACGTCGCCGTGTTGAAAACATGTTCCTCCAAAGATGAACTGTATTACGCGGTGGTATTGGTTACAGTTAAAGTTGTATTATTGCTTTTTGGAGTATTCTTAGCGTGGAAGACACGGCGAGTGGAAGTCCCTGGCATGAACGAAAGTAAGAGTTGATCAGTATAAAAGTAGAAATGTGAAATATATAAGTCGTTTATATTTGCTTACGTTTTCATGGATACTGTATACGTACGCTATTTGTGTTGGTGCCTTACTCGGCCTACAGTATTATCCATTGGTGCATGATTTGAACAGAGAATGCGTATCTTATAGGGCAGTGCGTTTTTCCTAGAGGAGAGTGAACCCTCCTTGAGATGCATTCTTGCGTATTATGGTTCGAGTTTTCTGTTTATCATGTGATGTATTTAGACATACCGTAGTATGTGTTATATCATAAACATGTTATATTAGAGAAATCCAAACCATATATGTACACCATTCGCTGCTAAATACCATAGTTTTCCGTTTCTTCTCTCTGAAAATGCAAAACAGTCAGATTGAAGCGTCACCCACTTTTATTCTTACAATCTCCCCAAATCTGAACTTTATGTATCAATGTAGATGTGGATATTTCTTAGATAGCGGACTTCTTGTTAGCAACACACGTGAAACTAGAAACAACAAAAATAAGCCGAGAACACGTGAAGATTTTTATCTTTATTACAGGTCATATAAAAGCAAACGAGTGTATTATCATTCAAAAATCCAAAAATGGCTGAGAGGGTGAATCTCATCTTTAATATTAAAGTTATTAGAATGAAATAAAGAAAATATAACCCAGTTATAGTTAGCAGCATATTCACACAGTTTCGAATAAGGGTATGTGGATGATGTTAACAAAATGTGAACAGATTTTAACTGGAGTTTTAATTACCGTTTGAGACCCCTACAAGCATGATTACAATTTGATAGACATTTCAATGCAGTGGTTTAATTGCGTTAAATGTGATGCTTTTGTTATCCCACCCTCTGGCGGTTATGGGACTCCGACGAGGCGAGCAGATTAAATTTTATTCACTAGTT